AGAAATGTGGTTCTGTGTGTTAAAGTTAAAGTATGTCATCATCATCATCATCGCGCGTGTGCTCACTTACTTTTCTCCTTTCTGACAGACGGTGACGATGAAAGTGATGATAACGGCCAACCACCTGGGCTGGTTCGAGTTCAGACTCTGCCCACACAACTCCCCAAGCACACCAGTAACGCAGGACTGTTTGGACAGGTACTCACGCATTTTTAGTTGTAGTACGAGTTTTACGACACTTGAAACACATTATGTCAAATAAGTGTTGAACATTAGTTAGAGGTGGTACAGTACAGGTGAGTAGCAACATAAAAAAAGAAGGAAGTGAGACCAGGACGACAGATATTTGATAGGAAAGATAATTTCATATAGAGTAAAATAATATGTATCTCGGTGTTTCTGCTGGAATCTTGTTTCCACCTTCAGCCCGGGTTGGCTCTGGAAGGCAGGGTCGGAAGCCAGCCCATTATTACTAATTCGTGTCGATGGGGCCGTAACAAACCCTACTCTAAAAACAAACAAAAAACAATGACAACAAATCACCACAAAAAATCATATAATAATAAATAACAAATCGGGGGCTCCAGTGGCAAAGTGAGCAGTGAATTCATGTGTGTTAAATGGATGGTCACTGGGATGTGTCCTTGGGCAAGACACAACAACCCAAGTAAAAAAAAACAAAAAAAACAGGGAACCGCACAAAGGCGACCAGCAATGACATGTTCGTGAAATTGCTCTGAATTGGTGTTAAATTGTTTATTTATGTATGCAGTTATATATCTATTTGAGTTTGAATTTCGGCGTATTTCTAATCATGTTTTTACGTATGCATTTTGCCATTGTGACCCATCTTTCCTCATGGGGATTTTTTTTTAAAAAGTAATTTATTTTATCATTTATTTATTATTCTTAATATTATATAGACTATATTATATATATTTACGACCTCACCAGACACCTGCTCCAGCTGGCAGACGGTAGCGGCACACGTTTTGACCTGGGCACCAAGATCAGCGCAGTCCCTGTGGAGGTCAAACTTCCCGCGGGTGTGACGTGTTCCCAGTGTGTGCTACAGTGGAAGTGGCATGTCGGTCAGTTTCGGAATTTCATAAATAATTCTGTGTGTCAAATTGCATAACACCGATCAGCTGTTTAAGTGTATTATTATTATTTTTATTATTATTATTATTATTATTATTATTATTATTATTATTATTATTATTATATTCTGATATAATATTATTACTGTTGCTGTTTTTGTTGTTGTTGCTTCTATCTTAATCTCTTGCATTGGTTGCTTGTGTTCAAGAAATATCAATTCTCAAAGTTCAAATTCTTAATGTTGAGAATTACAAGTAAATAGGTCTAGTTTAAGTAAGAGTTTTTCAACACAGTTAGATCATATTTAACAAGATAAATAACTAGATTAACCACAGAATCAATTAAAATCCCTGCTGTAATTCTCCCCCCCCCCACCCCAACAGGTAACAGCTACGGGCAAGACGGACAAGGAAACGGCTGCAAAGGTTGCGGTCCGCAGGAGGAGTTCTATGGCTGTTCAGATATCAGCATTACTACTGGTGGGGGTGGAGTCAACCCTACCAGCGGACCAATCACAAACGCTCCTGTCACAAACCCTCCATTCACGTTCCAACCAGTCACATACAGACCCGTAACAAGCGTCCCTGTTAGCACGCAGAGGCCGGTCTATCCGACATTCCAGCCAGTGACATTTCAGCCATTCACAAACCCCCCTCCTCAAACACAAAAGCCTGTTTATCCAACGTTTCAGCAAATTACATTCAAGCCTTACACAAACTCCCCGCCCAAAACCCAGCCCCCAGTTTACCCAACCTTTCAGCCAATCACGTCTCGTCCTTACACAAACGCCCCACCCCAAACCCAACCTCCTGTCTATCCAACATTTCAGCCAATCACATTTCAACCATACACTCAGTCCCCTTACCAACCTGTAACTAATGCGCCGTATCAGCCGCCGGTTACTGCAAAACCAAACCCAAGACCAACAGGCTATGTACCAATGTCCCCAGCGGCATCAATGAAGCCTGGAACACCTCAGTACGTCTTCACAACTCGCCCCACCAACCCACCAGTTACGTTTTACAGACCACCTTCCACACGCCCCCCACCAGCCACACCACGCCCAACAATCTATAGACCACTCCCCACAATAAAACCACAACCAGTCTTTACATTCAGACCTACCTTCGCCCCGCTCATCACCCTGACCTCTGCCCCCTTCACTTACAGACCAAACGTCTTCCCTCTAGGGGGCAGGACCACACAGCCACCACGCACAACACGACCTCCACCAGTCACTTTCTACAGACCACCTTCCACCGCGAGACCGTTACCACCCTTTCAACCAATAACAGCGTCCCAACCAACCCGGGCCCCATTCACACTTAAACCAACCGTATTCCAGCTTGGGGGAGGTACCACAAAACCACGAACCAATCAGCCACTAAACACAATGTATCCGGGTAGAGTGACCCCACCCCCTGCGACAGCTCGTCCAATGACAGGCCCGTACTGCTACGCCATCAACGTTCAGGGAGGGAACACAAAGCTGGACCAGTGGTGTAACGCTCAGTGTACGCGCCTAGGGGGATCATGCCCTCCGGAATATTGTGAGTGTAAAACGTAAAAACAAAAACAAAAACGGCTGGAGGCGATGACCTAAAAAAAAATCTAATTAACGATAATAATAATAAATACAGACCCGATTCCGGAGCCCTTTTATCTGAATAAATATACAATAATATCCCCAAACAGACAATTGTTTGTTTAGTTTTTACGTGGGAGAAGGAAGAGAGAGAGA